TTTTTTTATGTTAGATTATCAAAGCCGAAATGAAAAAGTCAGCAATGAAAAGCTGCGTATCATAGTCTGTAAGGGAAGTACACAAACATTTAGTGTGTTTCTGAATATTTTTTCAATACTCAGTTATTCTCAGTGGAGAACATGTAATTGTGAGAATGTGCCAAAACTGCATAAACTGTCAGCACAACTGTTTGGGTTTTTAAAATCTTAGGTCTTTGCTAGGTTTAGTTCACCGCAGTCAGGATTGACTTCTGGTTGTCCAGGTGAACACCTAGGGCTGGGAACCCACATACTGCCACTATTAGATATTTAGGCTCTGGTTTCAAAATAAGATGTGTGTGAGTGTGTGTGTGTTTGTATACATACATATTTACACAAACGCCTCACACACCTCCCCTTTACAGACTCCATATGGCATCCCCAGATAACGTCTCTGCTGGCACCTACAGCGAGTTGCACCAGAAAACTGCTCCACACCCATCACACCCTCCCTCTGTTTATGTTACATCTTATATTTCTGTTGTGCATCTTGGCGGGGGAGGAGGGACGATGACATCTGGGCAAGGTTTCACCTGAGTCATTTTAATATTTTAAGCATTCAGAGTGGGCCACCAGCAATGACGGACAAGTGAAGGCTGGAAGATGTCCGCATCCCTGGAGTCTGCTGTCAGCAAAGTTTGGAAGGGCAAATCTGAGAGGGCAGAGGTTAGCAGAGCAAGGAGTACCACTGCCCGTCAAGGGCTGAGCTTTGCTCAGAAGAGAAACACAAGATGATGTAGGATTTATCGACTGTTTCTCCTAATGATTTTGGGAAAGCCCTAACTGCTTCAGGAGCAAAGAGGAGCTCCAGGTGCTCCTGAGGGACTTTGCTGGCAGAACCAGGCACACACCTTGTTCCTGGCACATAGGAAATAAGCAGGCAGAAGGCCCAATATATACACTGAAATGAACTGTCAGTAGAGAGGTTCACTAGGCACTCTACCTATAAGCATACCCCAGACTTTGGAGATACCGACTCATGAAGGACCGAAAAAGTGTCTAGAAGGTGCTCTGCTAATAAGGTTGGGTACATGGTCTTTTATTAACCATCCATCTCATGGTCATTATCACCATATTCAGCTCCTAACAAAGGTAATTAGCACAGCAATCAGTCCTAAAGAACTCTGCATCTTCTGCCCTTCAGATGCAACCTTTTTTAAGAGCAAATGATGAACTTAATGCTACTGTGTAATTATTTCCAAGGCATTATTCTGTGAGGAGACAAGGCACACTAGAAACTGCTGATGGTAATGTTCGTCTTTAAGACCATTCCTACAGCAGTCTTCTTGGTTCTCTGCTAAAAAAGCATCAAACCGGACTAACCGCAGAGTCCATCAAGGTAGATGTGACTAACGAATTATGTCATTCTCACCTCAGGATTGGGATAGACAGACAGTGACTGTTGTAATTGCAAAATTCGCAGCCTCTTTTGGGTCAGTGTGAGGACCGTGCTGCTCCGGGAGGCCCAGCTGCTGCCAGTGCCATTGCCCCCCAGAGCCCCCGCTGCCCCCAGCACTGTCCCTCCAGAGCCACCGGCTCTCCCGGCACCCTGCAGCCAGGAAGATCTGTCAATAAATCCAGGTTTTCTGCATGGCAGGACAGATCACTGAGGGCACAGCACTAAGCTGGCAGCGTGGGCTATTTTTCAATGGCTCAAACTTTTGAAGCGTGAGAGAAGGCCGAGGCAAAGCAACCTTTGAAAATTTCCAATGGTGCCTAACGGGTAACGAGAAAAGGATTGTTTGTCGTGGCTCTCGTTTCTTCTTCTCAATTAGCACAGCAGCGAGGCTAATTTGGCTACAGAAGTTCACTCGAGTAGAGCAGCTAATTGCTGCACATTGTCCTTTTCCTCAGAGCACGGGATAAAATGTCCCAGATACAAACCAGGGCACCATAACACTGCAATATTTCCTTATTACCACAGGGTGGTGGTGAAGACCTGTGTGGAAACTTCTCGTTGCTCAGCTGTGCTGAGGATCCCTTACTTGCTTCGCAGACCACACAGGTCGTATCTTCCCAGCGTGGGAACCCCCTCAGACACCGTGTTTTCGGTCACTCGCACCAACAGGGTGACTTAAGGCCACTTCCTATAACACATTAACTCCTGTTACCGTTGAGTTTATCCTTCACTGTTCATGATCGGCATTTAAGGAGTTGATGATACACTTAGTTGCTTTACCTCCGCTGGTGCTTCGCAGTAGTTTCAAGAAGATATAGTTAAGTATGAAGTTATGGCTTCTTCAAATTTAGTTACCAATAACATATGATTTAGTAGCACAATAGCTTTGACCCATGCTTGAATGGCTGGATGGGGAGCCTGCTAATTACACAGGAAAAGCTCTCTTTGTCATTCGATTTATTTACTTTAATTCAACCTTGTTACTTCTTTTCCATAATCGCCTAATATTTGTAATGCCATGTTCACAGCATTGTTATTTTTAATTTCTGTAGTATTTTTGTCGCTAATTCAATTGTAAATTGCTTGATACAGAAACTGACTTCATTACATGTTTTTGCAGCACAATAATGGTGTGAGACATGCCTTCCATTCTACAAACCAACCAAGCTGTCAAAGGCTAACGTTTGTGTAATGTATTTGTATAATGGAGCAGGTAAATCGAAGCCCTATTAATCCATTTTAACAATTTCCTTTCATGTAATAGTGGTAAAAGCCAAAGTACGGGGCACTTCAGCTTAATATTGGAAGAATTAGGAAGATTCCAGTTTAAACCTGTTTTAATTATTGAACAGCTCTCAAAATCAAATCACTGACCTTTGAGAATTTAGTGACCAAACAAGTGCTTGTCCTCAAGGCACGTATTTGGAGCTTGCATTCGTTTACATGAAGCTTTTACACTCTGGTTAAAGATGCCCAAGAACACTGCAAGTAGAAAGTGAGTGAGGTAAGACCAAAGATCCAATATATGCACTGATGGTGGTGGTGATGATGATGATTATGTTGATGTTGTTAGCTTGTGGAGAGGAGTGCGTGCATGGGGACCAAATTGTCTATTCCTTAGGCAGGAAACAAGTTGTCTGTTTCTTTAGACAAGTGGAAATAGGAATTTCTGTCAGTGAACAAGAACCGTCAGGCTTCTCCATGGGGTGCATCATATCCTAACAGCATCATACAGAGCACTTCTTCCTTTTGCACTCCTCTGGAATCCTTTCACTAAGGCAGCAAATGTTTTTATAGCTCAGAAGTAGCAAATGTTTAATCTATTTTCAACTTTTTTTAGTCCCAACCAGCAGCAGCAGACAAAGTGGGATTTTGCCGGTGGGCGATCTCTGAAGACCATTGGCAAAGGCACCATAAATCACATTTCCAATAACTGTGGCGAAATGGGGAGCTTTTCTGAAAAGAGAATAAAAAGATTAAGGAACGTGTCCCAAAATTAAGGTCTTCCTCTATAAATTAAGTTAAAAGAATATTTAGATCAAATATTGCTGGCAGGGTGTAATTATTCTTCTTGAGAACATACTAGTCTCTCTCTACATGGTATCAGTGTGCATTGTTTCTTAAGACTGAGAAATGGTGGTGAAGAGATTAAACAGAAGACACTATTTTTGCAGTCAATGCTAGTTAATATTTCTTAGTATTAAGTTCTTATTAATGAAAGAACCAATTCAAAAGCCTATTAAGTAAAATTTACTCTTTCTGAATATCACTTTTACCTATGTAAGTACTTAAACTATATAGCCCAAGCTTCTGTGCGTTAGACATTTATGAATATTAATCCCAAATAAAATAGGCATTAATTTTGTTTCTTTTTGATTTTTGTTCCTCGTTCTAATCCCTTCCCATTAATTGATCTTACACTCACTTAAACCAGTTGTGTCCAGAACTAAGTATTAATGTATTTCGGTGGGCCTATATTAAAAGATATTATATATGAGGGACACTCTAATGAAAGGATAAATATAAGCTGGACTTTGAGTAGCATAGTTACATGAAGGGGAAGAACCAGACTAAAGACTTGTTTTTCCCAAAAACTCTCTTACTTGAACCCTCACGTTTTTGCCCTCATCTCACTCTGCTCCAGCTCTGACCCCACCTGAGGTCATTCAACTTATTAACCCAGTAGACAACTAACTCCAACGAAAAAAAAAAAACCCACAACAAATGGAGGAAAAGATGATTGCTTTGTGCTGAATTAGGGGGTTGAATTGCCCTAGCTCACCTCCTGTAGCACCGGAGCCAGCTCCTGGGAGATGAGAGGTACAACTGTGCAGTCACAAGTAATGTGGATGGAGAAGTGGCCATTAAGACCTCTGCTTCTCCTTGGTTATGAGCTGTTTAACTGGCTCAATTGTATTATTTGCTGGGAGAAAAAAAAATCACTTTTGCCCAAGTTGCCTTTTTATTATGATCTTGAAATTTGGGTTAAGTTCAGTCAAATTTGTGAAATCTGAGCTTTCCCAATGGACTTATGGTCTAAATAGAACAGTGTGAAACTCTATGGGATGCACTGAGCTGTTTTTTCTTGTTCGATGTCTACATCCTGAGAACTAGATCAAGGGTAGCTCTAAACATCCCCAGAGCTCTTGGGAATTTCAGCTGCTCCCCATCTACCTGCATCAAACTTTCCCTTTGCAGAGTCACTTATTTCCACAAGTCATACTGCATAAGAAAATATGAAACAGAACCCGGTGCTCCAAATCACAGGAAATTAAGGAATATTTTAAATTGTGTAAAGCTAAGTTAAGGTTTCAAATGTATAATGATGCTATTGCTGATATTCCCCTTAAATTATTATTTGAAATAGCACTCAGTAGTCTCTAGGACTGTACTTGATGCTATACAGAGACCTATAAATAAACCAAAACAATAGACATGGCGAAAACCCATTTCCTTTTTTTCCTCCCTCCCCCACCCTACATCTCCTTCTAAGGTAGACTTAGGCAGATGTACTTTTGCTTTCTTAAATCTTTCAGCCAAAATCATATAACCTATCTAAAGAATGAAAGGCTGGATTATACTGCTGGCTATTTTAGTCAGCACAGCAGAAACACAAAACCAGGACGTCTGCACCCAAGGGTATCCTGGCATCCCCGGCAATCCTGGGCACAATGGCATACCTGGTCGTGATGGACGCGACGGTTCAAAAGGCGACAAGGGAGATACAGGTACCATGTTCAGAATAAATGATTTGCAATGCCACTGGTTTCCGAAGCTGACTGTAGTCACTCTGCATTTATGGGATTATTCTGCCTAGCCTTCAGAAAACATTTCAGACATTTGTCATTTACTTGTTTGAAGAAGGAAATACAAAAAGATCTAATAATAAAAGCAAGATAGCTAATACTATAGGAAGGACAGGTCCATGGGGTAAAAACAAAAGAAGAAAGACTTTACCTTCTATTTTGGGAATATTTTCAAGTCTTTGAAAATTTTAAAGCCTGTAAACCTACTCCTACATCTCTAAGATAGCAACTATATTTCTGTAAAGAGCTTCAAGCCCAGTAAAAATATCCTAACAACTGATACCTCTTTTGTTGTAATAGGTGTGCAGTGGCAAGAAGATAGAATCATAGAATGGTTAGGGTTGGAAGGGACCCCAAAGATCATCTAGTTCCAAACCCCCTGCCATGGGCCGGGAAATCCTCCACTACACCAGGTTGCCCAAAGCTTCATCCAACCTGGCCTTGAACACTGCCAGGGATGGGGCATCCACAACTTCTCTGGGCAACCTGTTCCAGTACCTCACCACCCTCAATGTAAAGAATTTCTTTCTTATATCTAACCTAAATCTGCCCTCTTTCAGTTTAAATCCGTTGCCCCTTGTCCTATCACTACACACCATTGTAAAAAGTCCCTTTCCAGCTTTCCTGTAGGCCCCCTTTAGGTACTGGAAAGCTGCTATAAGATCACCCCGGAGCCTTCTCTTCTCCAGGCTGAACAGCCCCAACTCTCTCAGCCTGTCTTCATAGCAGAGGTGCTCCAGCCCTCTGATCATCTTCATGGCCCTCCTCTGGACTCGTTCCAGTAGCTCCATGTCCTTCTTGTGTTGGGGACTCCAGAGATTTTTCTTTCTTATCTAAATACTACATTTGTAGGACTTTGTTCTGAATGTGTCTACTTGCTGGAGCTCAAGAGCCACAAGAGTGAGGTTCAGGAATTGGGACTAGTGAAAAACAATGTAGGATTCATGTTTGCTCTAGCAGGCTATAATAGAGATTTGTGTGTGATATTGAAGATAGAAGTAATCTTCTCAGCCCCCTAAAACTAAAAATTACCACAGTACTTTAAGCCTCTGGATAAGGATGGCCCTTGCATCCGTGCTGGAGTATCAAGGCCAGGGTTGCACAAGCTGATAAATCTGTGGACGTATAACACTTCATCTGAAGTGTCACAACCCCAGAACAAAAAGCACAGGCCAAGAGCAAATCTGCTGCTTCGGATTTGTTCACAAATTTTTCTGGGGGAACTTCTCCTCAACCCACTTTATGTCAGGTCAGCTATTGAGTGGCATCATGCAGGGGGCACTAGTGCTTCATGCATAAACGAGTCACAAATGCTGTTGCGCACCAGGACAACTCAGTTGCACAAATCAATCTGAATCAAACTTGTACTTAACTAGGCAAACCCTTCTACCAAGTGCTGATCTTAGTGACTATGAATCACAGCTCTTTCAGTGGGGTACATAATCCAGCATATAAATCAAACCCAGGCCAATAGTCTAAAAGAAATTAACTCGAAATCTGCTAAAGTGATTTACTATGTCTCTCAAGCTAGTGGAAATCCACTAGCTTGTAAAATCCACTTGGGTTGTTGAGTCCCCATCCCTGGATGTGTTTAAGAAAAGGGTGGATGAACTACTTAGGGATATGGTTTAAAGGGAGATTAGGGACGGTGGGACTGGATGATCTCTAAGGTCTTTTCCAACCTAGAAAATCTATGAAATCTATGAAATGTCTGCCTCTAACAGAAGGGGTTGCTGGTGCAATCACACGACCAAAAGCTAATGAATCACCGACTTCTCTAGAAATGTATATGCCTCCACAGAAACTATACGCTGCATAATCAGTGTTGACGGTGTAGTCTGATGTGCATTTGTTTGATGGCTACGCTGGCATAAGCAGGATCCTCTACCAGATGCTTTTGCCACCTCTTCACTCTTCTCTCTTCTGCACAACTGTTGTATGGCTACGCAGTAAATTACATCAGCTGGAAAATAACCCGCACTTACAATTTGGGCAATGAAGAGCTGCATACTGCCTGCCCTGGATCACTGAAAGAGAAGCCTACCCACTTTAGTATTTACATCAGTGCTTGCTAAAGAGTTATATTTAACTCTCTAGTTTATAAAATGATTTACAGGGTTCTCTGCCAAGCAACGACTTACATGCTCCTTTAGCTTTCAGTGTCCTAGCCTGGCTAAAACCAAAACCTTTTAAAATCTAGAAACAAACAAACAAAAAAACTCCATTAGCTTCTTAATAGGCATGTACAATTAACTGCCTTATTTTTCTATATGCAGAAGTCCAGGAAAGCCAGAAAAATGGAAAATCTAGAGCTTACTTATTTTAATTTCCTTTATGAAGGTCTTCACTTTACTCCAGTGAGTTATCACATGATATCACTGGCTTCTGATATAGTCCCCAACTTTTCTTCCTATATTAAGCTAGTATGAAGGCTCTTCCATCCAGACTACCAACTCTTTTTTATTCTGTTGTGTTCTGGATGCAAATCCAGGTATTTGATCACACACCTCCTGGTCACCTGTGATGTTACTACAAAAACGACTTCTACAATTGCTCTTTTTAGATCACTGGGAAATCTGTGTCATGCTAAATACAGGGATTAAGAGTGTGAATGCCTTCCTCAGACCTACAAACAATATTATTTCACTGTAACATTTCATCATCTTTGGCCAAACCCCTACAGATGTCTTTCTGGAGAGGGGAGTTTACCATTGTTTCACTACCAGGCTTCCTGTCTCTGCAAAA